TGATCCTGGGCAATATGCTCTAGAGGTACCTGCTTGAGCAGGGAGGTTGGACTAGATGATCTCCAGAGGTTCCTTCCAACCTCAACCATTCTGTGATTCTGTGATTCTGTGATTAGTCGAGTGTTAAGCCGGCGGCCGGTGGTGCAAGGGGGAGCGCTGCACAGTTGCTCAGCTGAGGGCCAGGGACGGGGATCTGAAGCTCTTCTGTGCCTTTCTAGTGGCAATTCTCATTTTTTGCTTCAGAAGGGACATGACATACTGAGTTACATGCTGCAGATCTCAATGCACGCTTTATCTTGGTTTGTGTTCGCTTTTTACAGCTTAACTCTAGAACTTCGAATCCCAGCTAAGGGGCAGAAAATGGCTTTTCTCTGAGATGTGCTGGTGTTAGCCAGCAGCATCCAGCCCAGGCAGGGCTGGCTTTAAAGCGGATGCGAACACCCCAGCAGAAGCTAGCCAAAATTCAGTGTGTTTCATCCTGGTTTCGGCTGCGCCAGCGCGGCCCTTGTGGGGCGACGCCGTCTGCCCCGCTGCGGCGCTGCCCTGCCCCGCGTCTGCGCCCGCCTCTCCCGTGCTGCCTGGGGTCTCTGCGCACCTCTCCTGCCGCCTGGATGATGACCGCTGCCCCCACCGGCTCTCCTCCCTCCTGTCTTCAGAGGGCCCTTGCCCCCCTCGCCAGCCCTTGCCTCTTCCGACGCTCACTCGCCCCGTTTCCGCTCTGCCGTGGGGCACCGCGCGGCCCCTTTCCCGTGCCGGCCTCGCGGGTTTGCCCCCCCCGCCCTGCTCCCACCCAGGCGTCTCCCACCGCCACGCTCGCCTGTGAAGGGGAGATGTCCAGCCTTGGATCAGCTTCGCGTTTGTCCCTCTCCTGTTACTGCAGCCCCCAAAGCCCTCCGGTTTCCCGTGTGACAGTCCAAGTCCTTCTGCACCGATGAAGCCCCTCGGCCGGATCCACAGCGCGTTATCGCTGCTTGGGCAGAAACATTGGGCGAAATACTAAATAGTCCATCCCCTAGACCAAATGCTAGGAGCTTCTCTTCCAGCTTGTATTTCCATGTTTAGAAGCACCTATTGTCATCTCTTTAGCCAATTCCCATATCACAGCTCAAGTCCTCTATTTCAGTAATGATTTTCCATGTAGCACCATAGAAAATGCTTCACTGGAGCCCGGAGAGGCTGGGCAGAGCATGTAGTCGTTGTATGGGAGTCGTGGGTGTCTGGAAGCTCCCTTCTGTCATCCGCCCCCCCCGGACAGTGTGTGGTTATTGCCAGAGAACATGATACAGGTTTCTCCATACAAGAGGGGGCTACCAGGAGAGAGGAGAAGCTGCAATAAGACAGGAAAAAAAACATATTTTCAAGAAAGAACTTAGCAATGCCAGAAATCACAAATGTTCAAGTATTTTTAGGAAGCGTCTGATCTCCACTGTTTTCAGCAATGACTTATTCTGAAGGTGCTCTCTGCCCATGCTGTAAGGATAAAGATTTCATATGGGAAAGAAAGTCATAGTTAAAAACCTTATAAAGATAGCTGAAGATAGGGAGATGAAGGCAGAAATTAAAAAAAAAAAAAAGAAGCTTGTGTAAAGGTTAATTAAAATATTAATAATGCAAGGATTCAATTATTCATGCATAAATAAAAAGATATTTAATGTCAGGCATGCGTGGAGCATTGGTACCATGGGCATGATATTGTCTTGGAGAACGAAGGAGAGAGAGCTTGGATCCTCGGCAAGGGAGGTGGTAGCAGAGCTGGGAAGCGTTGGACATGTAGGGGATGCGAGCGCCCGGTGGGCAGCGTGCGTCCCCCCACGGGCCCCTTGGCGCGAGCCGGTG